CTGAGTGTGGAAATGGCCCAAAATGTGAAAAATAAGGGTTTTATCCTCAGTTTAACCTGTGTAAGGACTCAAATTGGTTGATTTCAATCCCAAAAGCAACAGTTTTCCTGGAGTCACAGAAGGAGCGTAATTAGGAACTGGATTTCCTGGCTGATAATCCTCTCCCTTGGAGTTTATCTTCCCTTTCTTCTCCAACACTGCAGACCAAAAAGGCTCATCCCCAGGGTGGCTCTACCTGGCTGTAAAAGGATCCCGAGGATCCTTTCATCTCTGATAAAACAAAGGAATTACGCCGGGTGGGGGAAGCGGGATGGGAGGTGCCGCTCTCACACAGGTGGATTTTAATCCTGAACAGATTTAAAGTGTAAATGAGACAAAAATCCCCTCACATGGGGCGTGAAACGGCACAAATCAGTTCTGAGCTGTGTTTTGAGCACACAAGTCAGACCCCAGGGCAGCCAAGTCCTCCTGTCCCACCCTAGAACATCTCACTCCACATCTTCTTCCACCTCATCCCAGGTGGATTTGCAGCCTCTGGCTCTTGGCTGGGAAAAGAAAAAGAACTTTCCCTCCCTTGGGGAGGTCAGGAATTGCTGGGTGGCTTTGGCATTCCTGAGGTTCCCTTCCTCTTCCTCTTTCTGTGCCTGGATTTGGATTTTGGCCATGGTTTTGCTTCAGGTGTTGGACTTTGATGTCTGCACTGGATCTTGATCTTTGTGGGGTGTCAGCTCTTCCAGGCCTAGCCCTTTCCTCTGCAAAGAAAGGTTTATTCCTTTCCTTTTCCTCTGCAAAGAGAAGATTTCTCTCCTCCTCTGCAAGATTTCTTTATCTCATTTTCCTCTGCAAGGAGAAGGTTTATGTCTCTCCTTTTTCTTTGCAAAGACAAGGTTTATTCCTCTCTTTTCCTCTTCAAGGAGGTTTCTTTCTCTCCTTTTCCTCTTCAAACAGGTTTATTCCTCTCTTTTCCTCTGCAAAGAGGTTTCTTTCTCTCCTTTTCCTGTGCAAAGACAAGGTTTATTCCCCTCTTTTCCTCTGCAAAGAGAAGATTTCTCTCCTTTTCCTCTACAAAGACAAGGTTTACATCTCTCCTTTTTCTCTGCAAAGACAAAATTTCTTTCTCTTCTTTTCCTCTGCAAGGAGAAGGTTTATGTCTCTCCTTTGTAAAGACAAGGTTTATTTCCCTCTCTTCATCTGCAAGGAGGTTTATTCCTCTGTTTTCCTCTTCAAGGAGGTTCCTTTCTCTCTTTTTCCTCTGCAAAGACAAGATTTCTTTCTCTCTGTTTCCTCTGCAAAGACAAGGTTTATTTCTCTCCCTAAGCACCAGAAATCCCCAAGCTGTGGGAGTGGAAGGGACAGGAGCAGAGCAGCCCACAGCCCCAATTCCAAACTGGAATTTGCACTCGTGCAGGACGAGAAAAGGGCCGGGGGATCCTCTTTGCATGACCAGGGCACACAAAAGGTTATTCAGGTTATTTCTTTATTCCTTTGTGCTGCTCCCCGCTCCCAGAACCTTCCGTGGACAGGGCTGGATGAATGCAAAGTGCTCAGGGTCCATTCAGGGCTCTCCCTCAGCCCTGTCCCAGATTTGGGGCATTTGGGTGCCAGGAGCCGCGGCCCTGCTGGCCCCGGTGCCTCGGAGCTCAGGGGATGTGAGTGACCCATTTCTGTCACCCCACTGAGGGCTCTGGGCAAGCAGGGCTCGGTGCCAAGGAGCTGCCAGGGCCCCACAAGCCTCCCAGAGCTCGCTGACACCGTGAAGGGAGCCGGGGCTTTCTGGTGCTTGCGGTGTGAAAACCGGCAGGAAACGGGGCCTGGCCGGGCCTGGGCCTGCCTGAGGCACCGCGGCCCCGGGAGCGGGGTTTGCTCAAACGGACCCCAGAGCAAACCCAGGAGCGGGGAACAGGTCCAGGAACCCCAGAGCAACCCCACAGGGAACCCCAGACATGGGGAACAGGTCCAGGAACCCCAGAGCAACCCCACAGGGAACCCCAGAGCAGCCCAGGAACGGGGAACAGATCCAGGGAAAGCCAGAGCAACCCCAGAGCACCTGGGAATGGGGAACAGATCCAGGAACCGCAGAGCAACCCCACAGGGAATCCCAGACGTGGGGAACAGATCCGGGAACCCCAGAGCAACCCCACAGGGAACCCCAGAGCAGCCCAGGAATGGGGAACAGATCCAGGAACCCCAGAGCAGCCTAGGAACAGGGAACAGGTCCAGGAACCCCAGAGCAACCCCACAGGGAAGCCCAGAACAGCCCAGGAACAGGGAACAGGTCCAGGAACCCCAGAGCAAACCCACAAATGAGGTTTGGTCAAATGGACCCCAGAGCACCCCAGGAAAAGGGAACAGATCAAGGGAACCCCAGAGCAACCCCAGAAATGGGGAACAGATCCAGGGAACCCCAGAGCAAGCCCAGAGCACCCCAGAAATGGGGAACAGATCCAGGGAACCCTAAACCTGAGAGGAAGCTCAGGGGACCTTCCCAGCAGACACGAAGGGGAGGCAGAACCCCCTGAGTGAAAATGGCCTTTTCCTGTCAGAACAATGCCCAAGAATGGGGAATCCTTTATAGGGAACTCGATAGAAAGGTGCTCACTTTGAGATTGGGATCCTGATGGTGTTTGTGGGACCACGGTTCTGTGGTGTCTGGGAAGGGAGTTTGGGGTTGGCTCTGCAGGATTTGGGGAAAGAATTTAAGGTTGGCTCTGCATGATTTGGAGAAAGAGTTTAGGGTTGGTTCTGCAAGATTTGGGGAAGGGAGTTTGGGGTTGGTTCTGCAGTGTCTGGGAAGGGAGTTTGGGGTTGGCTCTGCAGGATTTGGGGGAGTTTAGGGTTGGTTCTGCAGGATTTGGAGAAGGGAGTTTGAGGTTGGCCTCCAAGGTGTGGGAGCCCTTTTGTAAGTGCAGCTCCTGCTCTGAGGCTGGGCAGCTTGGGAACCTGATGGAAGGGGGGGGGTCCCCCACTCCTGATTTTTGCTCAGTTTTTTTCCCATTGCTGTGAAATTCAATCGTGTTTTGGAGCTCTTGAGGCCTCCCAAAGCCCAGCAGCTGCATTCTCATCTGGCCTGAAAGCTTATCCTCGTGAACCCCAAACAGAACAAGCCTGAGAGCCCTCTGTGGTGAAATGGAACAAACCCAGCCCACGAGACAGCTTGGGCAGCTCTTTTTACCCTGCAGAAAGGAGATTTCCACCAATAAAACACTTGGGAAACCTTTTTTGCCCTGCAGAAATGGGATTGCTCCCGATAAAACGTTTGGGCAGCCCTTTTTGCTCTGCAGAGAGATTTCCCCAATGAAATACTGGGAAAACCTTTTTACCCTACAGAAAGGAGATTTCCCCAGTGAAACTCTTGGGGAAACCCTTTTTACCCTGCAGAAATGGGATTGCTCCTGATAATACACTTGGGCAGCCCTTTTTACCCTACAGAAGGGAGATTTCCCCCAATAAAACATACCAGGGTTGCCATACTCTTAGGACCACATCCCATAAATTGGGGGTTGTGTGGGTGACCCCAAATCCTGGGTAAATCTGTGTTCTGGGGTTGAGCAGCAGGAATTACAAAACATCCTCTGGAGACTTGCCCATGAAGCAGCAGAGCTGAGCCCAGCAGCTTTACCCCGGCATTTAGGCTGGGTTTATTTTAATGCAGAGACTGCAGCACCATTCTGGGCTGGCTGCAGAGCTCTTGCTGATGCTTTGTAAAGGCTGAGCTAGAACAGAGACTGGACAGAGCTAAAGAATGAAGTAGGGATTTATGGAAAGGATCTCTCTTCCCATCCGTAAAATAAAGCCCAGACCCACACACTAAAGCAGAACAGAACCTGAAAAATATAAAATCTAAACCTGAGGCATCATTGCAGGCAGGGCAAGGCTCAGCAGGGCTCTGGGAGGAGCCGAGCCCCGAACTCCCTGCGGGGCGGGTCTATCTCTCGAGCTTGTCTAACACCGCGAGCACGATGCTAATCTGGCTATTTATCCTTCCTAACAGTGCCGCTATTATGGCGCTTAATCCTCCGGCAGAATTCCCAGCCTCGCAGATAACAGGGACGGCCAGGTGGCAGTGGGGCATCTCCCGGGGATGGACTTTCGGGAACACACAAACCCCATCATGGGTATGGGCCCCTCAGTTTGGGAAGGACCTCGAGAGCTTGAGCGCGTCCAGAGGAGGCAACGAGGCTGGAGAGGGGCTGGGAACACAAGCCCTGTGAGGAACCACTGAGGGAACTGGGGGTGCTCAGCCTGGAGAAAAGGAGACTCAGGGGTGCCCTCATCACTCTGCACAGCTCCTGAAATGTGCCTGTGCTCAGGTGATGTTGGTCTCTTTCTCCAGGCAGCACCGACAGAACCAGAGGACACAGTCTCAAGCTGCACTAAGGGAAATATAGAGTGGATATCAGGAAAAAGTTTTTTACAGAAAGGGTGATTAAGTTCTGGAATGTTCTGCCTGGGGAGGTGGTGCAGTCCCCATCCCTGGGTGTGTTTAACAAAGCCTGGATGTGGCACTGGGTGCCAGGGTTGAGTGGAGGTGTTGGGGCTGGGTTGGACTCCATGATCTTGGAGGTTTCTTCCAACCTGGTCATTCTGTGAACCCCTGTCCATCCCCTGGCTGGGAGCAGCATCCGCCCAAAATCCTGGGGGGATGGGGCCAGGGCTTTGGGGCCAGCAGGGAGAGGGAAGTGAGGAGGGGTGGTGGGGATTCACCTCCACACGCTAGGGGTGAAGGACCTACCATGGTCCAGGAGCAGCTCAAGCCTGGCTTTGGCTTTGGCTTTGGCCAGAAGGTGCTGCCAGCAGGTGTGACAGGCAGGTGTGACCCGTGGGGCCTTTCCTGTCTCCCAGGTGTGACAGGCACAGCTCAGGTGTCACCTGTGGGGATTTTCGTGTCCCCTCCAGGTGTAGTGGGCATTCCTCAGGTGTCACCCACAGGGTGTTTTCTGTCCCTCAGGTGTGACAGGCATTGCTCAGGTGTCAAACACGGGGTTTTCTCTGTCCCCCAGGTGTGGTTCAGTAACCGGCGGGCGCGCTGGCGCAAGCAGGCGGGAGCCAACCAGCTGGCGGCCTTCAACCACCTGCTGCCGGGGGGCTTCCCACCCACGGGAATGCCGGCACTGCCCCCGTACCAGCTGCCAGACTCCTCCTACCCCAGCACCACCATCTCCCAAGGTGAGCCCCCCTGCTGCCCTTCCCCACCTCCCCTGCGCCAGGCTGGGCAGAGTTTGAGGGCTTTGGGGTCCTTTCCGAACCACCCCGTGATTCTCTCCTTGGGCCGCTCTGGTCTGTGACATCCTGGGACACTTGGGAGCCTCTTGTGGGTTTTGTTTAGTTGGGAAAATCAGGGTTTTTCCTCAAGCCAATAGAAATTCCTCTGTTTTCCCCTCTATCCCACATCCCTTTGGCTGTGTCCCCGTGTTCCATAGCTGGAGTTTTGGACATGGAGCACATCCCAGTAAATTGGGGGGTTTGTGGGTGACCCCTCATTCTGGGTAAATCTCCATTCCAGGGTTCAGCAGCGGGAATATTCCACTGGAAGGAATATTGTTTATTACTGTTAATTAGTTACCTTGTAAATTGGGGACTTGCCCAATTTATTATTTATTATTTACCCAGATTGTGTGGGTTTTACCTCATTCTGGGTAAATCTCTGTTCCGGGGTACAGCAGCAGGAATATTCCAGTGGAAGGAGTATTGTTCATTCCAGCTGCCTTTGGCCTTTCCCAAGGAATTAATGGCTTTTTTTGGGGAGGAAAACAAAGTCAAAACCCAGACTTCTCCCAAGCATGGAGCTGCTGGGTCCCTGCATGGCCAAACTGCCATTCTTGGGTCTCCCAGGGTCTCCCGGGGGTCTCCCGGGGTTTCCGGGGGGATCCCAGCCCGTTGGTGTCCCTGTGTCCCCGCAGACGGCGGCAGCACCGTGCACCGGCCGCAGCCGCTGCCGCCCTCCACCATGCACCAGGGCGGCCTGGCCGCCGCCGCCGACTCCAGCTCAGCCTACGGCGCCCGGCACAGCTTCTCCAGCTACTCCGAGAGCTTCATGAACGCCACAGCCCCCGCCAACCACATGAACCCCGTCAGCAACGGCCTGTCCCCGCAGGTAGGTGCCCGTTTCCAGCCTTCTTCGCGTTCCACGAGCGCGGACAACTCCGGGATGTCGCGGCGAGCCAGCACCGCGGAGTGATGGTGGCTGTTGGGGTTGGTGTGGTTGGGGTTGTTGTTGGTGTGGTTGTTGTTGTGCTCAGGAATTGCTGTGGGGAGAGCATTTAGTTGGTTTGTTAATGAGCAGCTCTGTCGTGAGCCCAGCGCTGGTCATTCCCACAGCCAGGCTGGGGTGAGGGGATCCCCAACACCTGGAGCACCCCCCACAACCACCCCAGAGCAGGGGGGGTGCCTCCGGTGCTCGGTGTGACCCCAAGGACAGCACACCTGAGGGTGGACTCCAGCTCATCCGGGGTGGCCGATTTAGGCACAGCCTGGAGCTCCTCCGGGTCTGCTGAGCTCAGAGATGGAGATTTGGGGTTTGATTTGGGGAAACTCGTGCAGACAATCCTGCTGATCCTGCACGAGGCGTGGGTGAGCTGTGGAGGAGGAAAGGAGTCTCCAAGCTCACCTTTGTTATCAAGGGGAACTGAAAATGAGCAGCCAGGACTTGTCCTTATCCTGAGGGACACCAAATCCCGTTTTTTCCACTCTCGGTCACTCATGGGATATGGAGTCAAGTGAAGGGCAGCAGTTGTTTCAGAGGAATCAGTTTATTTAGTATGGGAAACCAAAACAGTCTGGAATGAGGAGGAGAAACGAGGTGGGCACCTGGAATGGAAAAGCTGCAGGGGTTTGGAGAGGAGTCCAACAAACAGGGACACCAGGGGGTGTGGAGGTTAAGGTCCAGCAGTCTGGGTGTGAAAACAAACACGGAGTGTCAGTGGAAAGAGGGAAATTTTGCAGCTTCTCTGGAATGGTTCAAACCCCACACTTTTGGCTGTGAGTGGGAAAACCATGTTAAAATGTGACTGGCATGGGGCTGGATGGGAAAATATTGAAATGTGACGGGCACGGAGCTGGATGAGAAAATACTGAAATGTGATTGGCACAAGGCAGAATGGGAAAATATTGAAATGTAACTGGCACGGGGCTGGATGGGAAAGTATTAAAATATTGACTGGCATGGGGCTAGATGGGAAAACACTGAAATGTGACTGGCACAAGGCAAAATGGGAAAATATTGAAATGTGCCTGGCATGGGGCTGGATATTGCTCCAAACAGGGACATTTGTGGGGGAATAGACAGATATCCCTCTGACAAGGGATTTCTGAGAGCACTGGGCTCAGGCTCAGAGGATACAGCCTGGGATTGAAAGGCAGGCCTGGGTTAGCTGGGCCAGGGCCCGGGATTAACTCAGATGATCCCAAGTGCAATTTATCCCCACGGAATAAGGCGGGGATGAGATGCCTGGGATGAGCCCCAGGCGCAGAGAAGGCCATCCTGCAATTTCCATTTCCCTTCATCCTCTCCTGCCCAGTCCTGCAGAATCAGGGGCTCATTGAAAGGACCAGACCGTGGCTTTTCCTCTGCTTATCCCAATCCCAAATTCCCCTTCCCCCAGGCTCAGGCTGAGGACAGATATCCCTGAGCCCATAAGCCCTTTGTATGGGAAAGAGAGGATCCTTTATCTGGCAGGCCTGAAGAAAAGAGAGCTTTGCACCCCCAGGAAGGGGAGATTCCCATTTTCTCGACGCTTTTAATCATGTGAGGGCCAAGATATCGGTGTGGAAATTCGTCTGTTCCCTTTGTGTGCTGAGAGCCTAACCCAGGTTATTTCCCGACTGCTTTACATTCCCTGATCAAAAAATTCCTGCCTTTCCAAGCCCTCTGCTGTTCCTAGTGGAGGGAGATGAGAAATGCTCCCAGCAGGATGAAGAACTCATTGATTTGTCCTCTTTTAGGGATGTTTTGGAAGGTCTCTTTATGGGGTTGCTCTGTGTAATTTATGAGTTGAGTTGAGCACAATCCGGCTCTGCAGCGGCATTCCAGGGAAATCCCAGCAAAATTCCACCCTCCCAGCTGCCCGAGGTTCCTCTCTGCAGGGGGAAGGATCAGCCAGAGGGAAAGAGGGGGTTCAGGAGGGGGGAAAGAAAGAGAGGTTCAGGAGGGGGGAAAGGGGGTTCAGGAGAGGAGAAAGGGGGTTCAGGAGAAGGGAGAGAGGGTGTTCAGGAGAGGGGACAGATGTGGTTCAGCAGGTGGGAAAGAGGGGGTTCAGCAGGTGGGAAAGAGGGGGTTCAGGAGGGAGGAAAGAGGGGGTTCAGGAGGGAGGAAAGAGGGGGTTCAGGATGTTGGAAAAACCACTCTGGGAGCTGAGGGTGAGGGTGATATGTCTCTGGCCGGGTTTCTTGTTTCCCCCGTGGCAGCAGCAGCAGCAGGAGGGGATTTCTTGGCACTTCAGACAAGGAGAGGGGCCCGGGAGCTCCCAGCTTTTGCTCCCTATCCAGTTACCCTGGGAGTGGGTGTCTCAGCTGGAATCCACAGGCTGTGCTGGCAGCTGGAGTCCAGGAGGAGAAGCACGGTGTTCCCATTTCCAAACAGAAAATGGGGATTTGGTGTGGCCACTGCGGTGTTCCCAAACAGAAAATGAGGGTTTGGAGTGGCCACCATGGTGTTCCCAGTCCCAAAGAGAAAATGGGGCTTTTGTGTGGCTACTGCTGCATTCCCATTCCCAGAGAGAAAATGGGGATTTGGGATGGCCACTGCGGTTTTCCCATTCCCAAATGGGAATTTTGTGTGGCCACTGTGGCATTCCCGTTCCCAAACAGAAAACAGAGATTTGGGATGGCCACTGCAGTGTCCCCATTCCCAAACAGAAAGTGGAGACTTCTTGTGTGGCAACTGTGGCATTCCCATTCCCAAACAGAAAACAGGGATTTGGGATGGCAGCTGCAGTGTCCCCATTCCCAAACAGGGGTTTGGGATGGCCACCACATTGTTCCCAGTCCCAAACGGGGATTTGGGGTGGTCACTGCGGGTCCATCCCCCGGCCGTGCTCCCTCTCCAGGGCAGATCCTGTGGGAGCTCTGCCCAAGCCTCACGCGGGATTTGTTTAGTCCCGGTTTTTCAGCCGCGCAAAGCCCAGCTCAGCTGCTGGAGGCTGTCCTGCCTCCATCCCAGAGCTTGGCTGGGAATTTTGGCTCCCATGACTTCATCCTGCAGCGATGGATTTTGTGACACTTCACCCGAAAACACCAGCTCGGCTGGGCTGAGCCGGTGGGGGGTTAAGCCCAGCTGGAAACTGAGCCTGACCCAGCTCCTTGTCCAGTCCCCATTTCTCACTTCCAGCCCTGGAATGGGAAAAAAAAAAGGTAAAAAAAAGTAAAAAACTGTGTGTGTTGAGATAAGGAGAGTTCAATAATTGAGAATGAAGTAAAATACAATGATAATTATAATAATGATAATAATATATAAATATATTCATGTATTATTTGTATTTATTACTTTTATCTTATTTTATTGTTATATTTTATATTTATTTATTTATTATATAAACAGAATACTGTATTAATACATTCATTTATTATATTCATTATATTTATTTATTTTATTATTATATTGATATATTTATTTATAGTCATTAAATAATTATAATTGTAATAATAATAGTAATAGTAATAGCAGTAGTAATAATAATAGTAATAATAGTAATAATAGTAATAATAGTAATAATAATAATAATAATAATAATAATGGAAAACCAAGTGCTGCTCACTGGAGTTGTTGGCCAATGCCAGACCCCCCCTTCCCAGCCCCTTTCCAGGAACTGTCCTAGTTTGTACCCAGGGAATGGGGAATCCCATGGTGTGGAAATCTCTTTGTCCCAGCTCAGGTCACCTGTCCCAGCTCTGCCCCCTCCCAGTTCCCTCTGGGACCCTCCCCAGTGGCAGAGCAGGAGATGAGGAGGGAAATAAAAATTCCTTGAGTGAGGAGGGGATGGACAGGACTCGGTGACCCCCGACCCAGCAGGCTGTGCTCAGCACCGTCCCCATCCCAAATCCCAAACTCTGGGAGGGAATTGCCCCTTCCCAAGCTGTGACCAGCAGAGAATCCCAAAGGATTAAAGCAGGACACAGAGTGGGGGCTCAGGTCCTGCCCCTTCCAGGAACTTGGGGAGAGACCCCAGGGTGACCCAGGCAGGGATTGGGGTGGAGGAGGGCTGGGGATGGAGCAGGGACTGGGATGGAGCAGGGATTGGGGATGGAGCAGGGATTGGGATGGAGCAGGGATTGGGGATGGAGCAGGGATTGGGGATGGATCAGGGATTGGGACAGAGCAGGGATTGGGATGGAGCAGGGATTGGGATGGAGCAGAGACTGGGATGGAGCAGAGACTGGGATGGAGCAGGGACAGGGATGGAGCAGAGATTGGGACAGAGCAGGGATTGGGATAGAGCAGAGATTGGGACAGAACAGGGATTGGGATGGAGCAGGGATTGTGCTGTCCCCAGCCCAGCTGGGCTGGCCCAGAGCTGTCCCCTGCCTGTCTGGGATCCCATAAACATCCCACAAATATTCCCAAATTTCCATCCCAGAGGAATCATTCCCAGTTCTTAGGGAATCCCCACTGAGCTCCAGGAGAACAAGGCCAGACCCCCAGACACCCCGAGCCAGGCCTGGCCTCACCCTGGCAGAAAAACAAACCCTGCACCAGCTGGAGCTCAGACCCAGCTTAACTTAGGCCATGCCTGGCCTAGGATTGTCCCTGCCTGAGCTGGGATAAGGTCTGGAACAAACTCCTGATAAATCTTAAACAAATCCTGATAAATCTTAGAATCATCCACTAATTTGGCTTGGGAGGCACCTTAAGGCTCTGCTTATCCCAACCACCTTCCACGGGGCCAGGGTGCTCCAAACCCTGTCCAGCCTGGTCTTAAACTCAGTTTTAAGTCCAGTTCTGTCTGGGTCAGGCTCTGCCAGCCCGTCAGGAGCTGTGTGTGCTGCACTGGGTGCTGAGGGGCAAAATAAGGGAATTAAACTGAGTATTAGAGGACCAAAGTGGAACCACTTTGGCTGATGCTGGGAGATCCCCTCAAACAGCAAAGAATTCAGATTTTT